CACACACACACACACACAAATTTGTCTATATGCATTTGACATTGAGAAATCTTGAGACATATTAAGTGAGAAGGGCAAGATTGCAAGTAATATAGTGTGCATTATTTATATAAAATAAATTATAAAACTTGTCCTTTTAACATAAATACATATATTCCAGCATGTGAGTATATGGTCTAGAAGGACAACTTCAGATTATCCAGAGGTTCTCTGGGGAGGATGACCCAGCCATGCTATTAGCCCAAGTTTTTCAAGGCTCTCTCTCTCTCTCTCTCTCTCTTTATTTTATTTTTTTAATATTTGGACACAATATCTTTATTTCACTCAATTATTTTTTACATGGTGCTGAGGATCAAACCCAGGATCCCACGAGTGTGAGATGAGCACTCTACCACTGAGCCACAACCCCAGCTCCATCTCTTTTTTTTTAACTTAATGCTTCTTTTTAAAATTATTTTTATATATGTTCAGTTGTTGATGGATCTTTATTTTATTCACTTATAAAATGAATAAAATGCAGTACTGATACTCGAACCCAGTGCCTCACACATGCTAGGCAAGTGCTCCACTGAGCCACAACCCCAGCCCTCAAGGCTCTCTTTCTTCCAAACAATTTACTGCTATCTGCTGCAACACTGTCATTTAAAAACATCAAAATTTACTACCTTGTGACTAGTGCCCCCTAGGATTGTTCATGGCACCACCTGTACAGTTATCCTGTGACCATCAAGGACATTTCCTCTAATGATGGAGTTTTTTCACAATGCCACAAATCTGGTTTTATTCTGAGTCTGTACAAAATAAGTTAACTTGACCACATGGATAAAAACCAGTAAGTTTTCAATGTGTTATAATTTTGTATGTAACACACTTCAGTGTACAAAGGTGGCTAAGTTCCAATAAATTGGGGTTTGTGAGTTATGTCATTGTCAACATCAGAGACACTGCTTCCAAGTTCAGGGAGGATTTTAGCAGTAGTGACCCTTGGATACTAGACAAATTGGTTGCCTTTCACATCCTTCCTTTCAGATAGCAGGAATGCAGTTAATTCTTGCATAATTTTTTTTTTTTTTTTTTACTCAATACAGGTAGTGCCAGGGAGGGATTAATTTTCTTGCTCTTTTTATTTGCAATAGTGATTGCTCATCACAGCCTACCATATCTTTGCAATATCAAACAATTCAAATTACTGTTAGGTTTCTATATATGTGGGTTTGGACATAACATGAGTAAAATGTGATACTGATTTTTTKGGGGGGTATCAAGGATTGAACTCAGGGGCATTCAAACACTGAACCACATCCCCAGCCCTATTTTGCATTTTATTTAGAAAGGGTCTCACTGAGTTGCTTAGTGCCTCACTTTTGCTGAAGCTAATTTTGAACTCACTATCCTCCTGCCTCGGCCTCCCAAGCTGCTGGGATTATAGACATGCACCACCATACCTGAATGATTCTGATTTTTTACTTATTAAAATTGTGAAAAATTTTCTTTGTTTGAAATATTATTTTTAATCACATCAAAATGACCAGTGTAGGCAAATAATTTTTTTAAATTCTATGTTTGTTAAATATAATGAAGTTTCAACCCACCATATTAGCACACCTGTCTAATCCCAGCTACTCAGGAGGCTGAGGCATGAAGATCACAAATTCAAGGCCAGCCTTGGGCAACTTAGTGAGAACCTGACTCAAAAKAGAAAATTAAAACAAACTAGGAATGTAACTCAGTGGTAGAGTGCTTGCCTACTATGCATGATGCCCTGGATTCATTCAATTCCCAGCACCATTAAAAAAATGTRTATATATTGTATATACATATGTTATTTTGCTTTTTAATTCTAACAGTTGATATACATTTATATAATTTTTGCTCTTCAATTATAATCATTGATATTGGATGTTTTAGAAGAATAATTTGGGAAACATTGAATTTTGATTAAAAATAGTCAAATTTTGTTCATTTTGACTTATAACTACATCTTATTTTTAGACCTTTACTATCAATAGAAAACAAATTACATGACAATCTTAATGATGATAACAATAAAATCAATAATGTAGCTAAAATTAAAACTTATGAAATAAACATGTAGTAATTTATGGATTATGAAAGCATGTTTTATACGTCATTCATATAAGCATCACCAGTCCATCAGCAGAACACCCAGACATGCCCAATAATATTAAATTGAGTCATCTTTGATATTTTACCACATGTCAATCATTTAAAAAACATGAGTATGAACATATTTTTCAATTTTGACACTATGAAGGTGGATCTGTCAAGGTGATAGAATAGATTATAATTCATTTAACAGTTAGTCAGCTTGATTTATAACTTGTAAACATTTAGACATTTGATGAGTGTCTCTATTTTACACTTGGCCCAGGACCTGCAAATGTTAGGGGCACAATTATGGATATRTGGGGAAGGGGGTGTACAGAATACCACACATAAATATTTCAAGATATACCATAGACCTAAATGTGACAGATAAAACTAGTAGCTTCTGGATGAAAACTTGCAGGACTTTGAGATGCATAGAGGTGTTTTTTTTTTTTTTCTTAAGTATAAAAAGCATTAATCGTCAAGAAAAAYGTGAGGAATTGCAGACATTAAAATTAAGAACTTCTGTTCATCAGGACACAATTAAGAGGCGTCGGCTCCGCGACCGAGTGGCTGCGGTGGMGGGGAGCTCACAACCGCAGACTTAGGGCTCCCTTGGGATTAGGGGTCAGGTGGGAGGAGCGAAGCTCAGGGGCCGAGGGCGGCGACGCGAAAGACCTGTAAACCTCCAGTCCCCTTCGCGATCGCCACCTCGAGGCAGTCCTCCGGCTTCGCAGCCCACAGTCCGTCCCAGCCCACGCCCAGCGCCCACCCTATCCTTCCGCCTGCGCTGCCACTGCCGGCCGGGATCCTGCACCTTCTCCCACCAGTGACCCGACCTAGCTCTTATCCTCATCGCCTTATCACCAGACTTGCGTAAATGCAGCCTCACTGGGGACCCCTTTAACACAGTTGGAGCTCCGATCTGGGCCACATTCCTTAACTCATCCTCACCGCTCTGGCAATCAAGGCTAGCACTGGGAGCAAAACTCCCCCATACCCACCCTTCAGGTTTATCCTTTTGTGGCTCGGCCTTCTCATCCTCATACCCCTCAAACCCCTACTCAGTTCCCCAAGGTCTGCTCATCCCAAACAGCCTCCCTCTGATCTCCTCTCATTGAAGACCTACTACCAAAGTTCCTGTCATCCTTTCTTCTTGGCGACTATGATTACATCAGCCTTATTCAAAGTCTGAGGTGTACTTTCTTGTCCTCACAGACTCAGCCCCTAACTTCCTAGCTCACCGTATACTTCTTTTCCCCCTCCTACCTTCCTGAGCACATCCCATCCCTAAGTCTTTGCTAAATTATCCCTCAACTCTTGCTGCCTCGGTTCCTACCACGACCTCCCAAATCCTCTTAAAAAAAAAAAAAAAAAAAAAAAGGAAAGAACCATTAAGGTGGGGGGTGAGGGGCTGGGGTTATGACTCAGTGGTAGAGCACCTCATATGTGTGAGGCTCTGGGTTCAATCCTCAGTGCCCCATATAAATAAATGAATAAAATAAAGATCCATCAACAACCAAAGATATATATATATTTTTTTTTTAATCGTGCTTTTCAATTACTGGATTTATTTAAAAAAAAAAAAAAAAAGAGCTGGGCATGGTGGCACAAACCTGTAATCCCCAGTGGTTTGGGAGGCTGAGACAGGAGTATTGCAAGTTCAAAGCCAGCCTCAGCAACAGCAAGGAACTAAGCAACTCAGTGAGACCTCATCCCTAAACAAAACAGGGCTGGGGTTATGTCTCAGTGGTGGAGTGACACTGAGTTCAATCCCCAGCATCACAAAAATAAATTAATAAATAAAATTTAAAAATAAAGAAAAAAATAACCAAAGTGGGAGAAGATATTTGCAATATATAAGTCTGACCAAAAAAAAAAAAAAAAAACTTATATAGAGACTATACAAACAACTCCTTAAAATCAATTATTTTTTAAAAAACACCAAGAGCAAAATGGGCTATATCTCAAATTTCCCAGAAGATGATATTCAAATGAACAATAAATGTATAAACATATAAATCTTGCTGAGGATGTGAAGCAACTGAAATTCTCAAAATCCACTTTGAAAAGTCATTTGGTATCATCTGTTAAAGTCGAACATACCCATACTCCATGACCTATTAAATGGATATATGCCCAACACACATAAGGTTATAAATATCATGCATATAAATGTCCAAAGCAACGCTATTCAAAATATCCCCAAACTATCAATAACTCCAATGATCATCAATGAGAGAGAAATCAATTGTGATATATTTATTCAACACTCAGAGTGAACTTACACCTCTTGTTATGCACAATAATATGAATGAGGCTGCAGTTGTAGCTCAGTGGTAGAGTGCTTGCCTAGCATGTGTGAGGCACTGGGTTCGACCTGCAACACATAAAAATAAATAAGTAAATGATACAAATTGTAATAGCATAAAAAAAAATAAAAATGTTGAAGACTCTCTTAAGGACAATATTTAGTGAAGGAAACCTAACACAAAAGCATATATGAAATACAAAACAGGCACAACCCTATAGGGTGAACTACTGAGATCAAATCTGTGGTTCTGCTGGAATCAAAGTGGTCCTGGTCTCCCCTTTCTAAGATAATGCTTTCATCACTTCAGAGTTTTGCTAGTTTCTTGTACTGCCTCTCAAGTTTCCTGATAGGCATCAATGGAAAATGTACATGGAGCTTCAAGAATTTCTCTTGTTAACAGTTACATAAGTATGGATTGCAGGAACTTGAGCAATGTGACATCCATAGGTGTCTTCAATCACCACAGGCAGACTTTTCCCCCAGACCAATGTGTCCTGACTTTACATCCCTCTGAAGCATTCTTGAGCCAACAACAGATTTTATTTGGCTAAATCTAGCAAAGAGGAATGAGGCCTTTGTGAGCAGATTTTCTGCATTCCAAACCAGATGCACTGATTCCTGCAGAGCAAAGCATTCTTTCTCATTGAGCATACCTTGTACATAGTTTCCTGAACTGCTGCTAAGTCACCTGGCCTCCTGATCCATAATACAATTAAGAATCTAGTGCAGGTCATGCAGCRTCATTATTATTATTATGAGGAACAGTGGCAGGAGCATTTTTTTTTACTTTTTTCTTTTGGAGCTAATCAAAAGGAAATACACATGGGGCTCAGCTTGTGGCTCAGAGCTGGAGCGCTTGCCTAGCACGTTGGAGGCCCTGGGTTCGATCCTTAGCACTACATAAAAATAAATAAATAAAATAAAGGTATTGTGTCCAACTACAACTAAAAAATAAATTTTTTAAAAAAAGGAAAACAGGGCTGGGGATGTGGCTCAAGCGGTAGCGCGCTCGCCTGGCATGCGTGTGGCCCGGGTTCGATCCTCCAGCACCATATACAAAACAAAGATGTTGTGTCTGCCAATAACTAAAAAATAAATAATTATTTAAAATAAATAAATAAATAAATAAAGGAAAACACATTGGGTAGAGCAAGACTTGGGAATGAGGTGAATAGAGGGAGAATATCTTTACTATGTATGACTCAGTCCTTTTTTAAAAAAGAAAACTCAAGGTTAATGGCACGCTATTTTGTCTGCACAAAAGCATTTTATGTCAAAACAGCATCAGCTGTGACAAGCTGGCATCAAAATAATTATGTTAACAGGATTGCAAACTGTAATAACAGGTCACATGCAGTCTAACTCCTTTTGCTTTTTTTATGTTTGATTGCTGACAGCTTTTAAGTCTCACACTTCTCTTTTCCCCTTCAGTCTCACATCTGGGGAAGTTGATTTAAAAAAAAAATAGTTCTCACCATCTTTGGCACTGATAGCCGATTCCAACACACATGGAACCCTGACCTGACCCTCCCTCCAAATACATAATACACCCAGGCCAGACTTTTTTTCCTATTCTCTCAAGCTGTTTTCAGACTGGCTATTTTCCCCAGAATGTCTTATTATGTATAATAAAACTTTTTATGTCCTTTGGGGGAGGGGGTAGGTGGGATTTGGCATCATTGTCTCAGTATCCCAACAAAATTTGGGAGGTGTGTCCATTCTATTTCTTCCAGGTGGCCTTAACATGTATGTACCCTTAGCAAATGTCATTTGTTTTAAATTTTTACGTAATTAATTTATATCAATGTGTTGCATATATTTTAATATTAAATTTATGTTAATATTCACATGACATGTATGTAAACAGCATGTAACATGCAAGTATCATGCACATAACATACAATGGCATACACAAGACACATGGATAGCATCTTTATGACATGCATGTGGTGTGCACATAATGTGTTTAGCATACAAATGACATATGTGCTGCATGAATGCAATATATGGAATGCATATGGCATGCAGAAACATACATATAACATGCAAGTGACATGTGTGTGATGCACAAATAACTACATGTGTATAATCTGCAAGTAACGTGCAAATGATGCCTATAATATACAAATAATATGCATATGACATATGAATAGCATATGTATGACATGTATATAACATGCCTTTGACATCACATCATCTCTCTGTGTGTGCCTGTCTCTGTTTCATAATTCCCCTTTTTATAAGGATTCTGGTTATATTGAATTATGGCCCTCTCTAATGATTTAATTTCCATTTGATTACTTTTCTAAAGACTCTATTACTACTATTACTAAGGCTCAGGACATAGCTCAGCTGATAGAGTGCATGCCTTGCATGCCCAAGGCCCTGGGTTCAATCCCCAGCACACACAAAAAAAAGACTCTATTATCAAATAAAAGATTTGGTAATCTATTACCAAATAAAAGATTTGATAATCTATTACCAAATAATAGATCACATTCTAAGATACTGGGGATTAGAACTTAAACATGTCTTTTTTGGGAAACACGATTTAACCCATAATGGTACCTATAGAAGGAGAGCAAAAACTAAAGGACAAGGTAGGGGCAGAGGGTGTTCCTTTCATGAAAATGGCTCAGAGAACAAGGGTGGGATCATCGCTTCTCTACCTAGAATAGAGAGACCATGGCGTCAGTGATAAAGGGTATGAAGTGGATGTTTTATTCTCTAAGTCTGTTTTCTTATCTGTAGAAATAATAATACCTAGCTGCCTCCTGAGGGAATGCCTGTGGCCTGTGGTAAACCCTATAAGGAACACAATCCCACAAAGGTGTCAAAAATGAGGATGGCTTAAATAAGCTCTTCCTTCACCTTCAGTCCCATCCTCACTCACTCCATGTGGGGATTCTGAGGTCTTATGCTGAAGCAAACTACACAGTACATGCACCAGTGGGTGGAAAGAACACTTCTCCAGAATGCAAATTTTTCCGGGTGCTTCTAGAACTCTTGCAGAGCCTTGGAAAGTGAACTAAGTTGTAGAATGGGTGCCTAGCAGAATTGAAGCCAGATTTAAAGTTAGGTAGTCAGTGTAGTTAGATAAATCGGGTCTAATACCCAGTGAAATCTAAAATGGAGGCCATGCTGAGAATGATTCCAGGAAAAGCAGGACAACTCATGGAATGTTAATGAAGTCCTGAAAAGGCCCTAGGCCAAAGTCCATCCCAAAGAAGTGTTAATGAAGTCCTTCCTGCCCAGAYTACTTCTTTGGCCCACCTGTGTCCCACCCCTSRGGCCTTCCAACCTACAYTCCATCACCAAAACTATAAAAAGGGGAAACAACCGCACTTCCATGGATTCCACCTCTTGGGTCCCCTTCTTCCTCCGGGAGAAGTCTTTTCTGCTGTCCTTTAATAAACTTCTAATCTCTACTCTGACCTTGCCTCCGTGTGTGCTTTTCTGGTGTTATTCTTCAACATTGGGGAAGCAAGGACTCGTCACCGGCCAACAGCGGTAACAGAATGACATTTATTGCATCACCAATATTCTCTTTTCTCTAGAGGCCCCTACCTTTCTGATTGCCTTTGATGTAGAATCCGGATTCTGACCCTTGCTTCTCTTCATCTCTTGTGGGGAGGCAACCAGCT